AATTATTTTCTTTGAGATGGAATTCTTTTTTAATCCCTGTGCTGTCTCCTAGGTAAGAGCCTTGTAACTTTTGTCTCCACCAAGAACAGAAAAGTGAAATGGTCTCACTTCCCTGTACTGATCCTGTTCTGTCCCAGCTTCCCTCCAGTGCTGGGTTAACAGTTCCAATACAACTCACCCCCTGATCAGGGGAGCCCCCAAAGTGAGCCCCCTGGCTTCCCTCTGCCTGCCCAGCAGCTCTGCTCCCCCCAGGCCCAGCCTCACCCCCCTTCATCTCCACCATCCCCTGTTACGGCATCATCCAGACCTCCTCCCCCTTACCCGCTCTCGATTTTCTGCCAGCGTGACTGAGTGAGACTCTGTCTCAAATAATAACTTATTATTATTTTGCTTTTTTCCCTTATTTTAACCTTAAGGACTTAGGCTCCCTTATGGAAGAGAGGATTTCTTTTTTGGTTTTGGGGGGGGGGGTTGTAGACAATCTCAGTCATTCGGGGTTGTGTGCCATGGCATCATAGCTTACAGCAACCTCAAACTCTTGGGCTCAAGTGATCCTCTTGCCCCAGCTTCCCAAGTAGCTGGGACTATAAGCACCCACCACAACACTGCTAGTTTTTCTATTTTTAGTAGAAGCAGACTGGTCTCGAACTTTTGAATCCACCCACCTCGGCCTCCTTGAGTGCTGGGATTACAGATGTCAGCCACCATGCTCAGCCTGAGAGAATTTTTTCATTCACATTTTCAACAAATATTAAACATCTACTCCTTGTTAGACAATAAGGACACAAGGATGCACTTGACACAGCTCTCCCTCCCCAGAGCTCATCTGGCTCCTGAAAACACTTAGAACATGTGTCTGTCTGTCTCCCTGCTGGATTCATCAGAAGCCTCTGGGAGCCCCTTGACTCATCTCGGCCTGGCCTCCTTCATAACAGTTTGTGTTCAGCTCCCTTTAGTTGCTTAATAAATAGTAACCCTTGAGCTAAATGGATTATAAATTGAATTTTTATCTCATTTTTTAATGTGTTTGTGTCTTCTTCCCAAAAATGGTAATTAAACACACTAATAGCATTTAATGAATAAATAATATCTTAACCTCAAAATAAGTTATGATTGACAGTTATTGCTAAATAGTTTTGAAAGTATTTGAGAATGGCTTAGTTCTGCATAGGCAAAATAATTCTCCTTCCAGTTATTCAGCAAATATTT